AAGTGATGCAGTCCCACTAATAACCGGATACAAAATACCGAGCATTACCAGCAACACCACATGTGAAGATAAGTTAAAATACGTGAAGGGGTCACTTGTACTTTTTAAAATATTTCGCTCGGTCGAAGATCTTACAGCATTTTCCCATCCTACTGACGAAGCCTGGCTAGACGCTTATGATGCCTGGGAATCTCAGCGGAGTACTTTCGTTGTCGAAATTATGGAAAACATGCGCGATTACAATTTCGCCCGTAGCAAGGCCGCCGCTGCGATTATAAATCAACAGTTTGGTTGGTCACAAGATGAGACAGATGCAAAAAGCACATCCAGTGAAAATTCAGATCAGGACACCATTGATGTTGATGCTTACGAGCTCTATCAAGCTGCGGAGGATGATGAACAATTTTGCGATATTTGGGACGTTGTTGATGATGCGGATACTATTTTGAATTCAAACAGTTTGAGCCCTTCAGTTTGTCCGACTTGTCCTAAATACAATGATCGTATTGGCAGTATTATTACAACGATTTTGGAAACTGAGATAATGGATGAAGTGACATTTCACACTGCGAAACAATATTACGAACTTGAATGCGACGCCGTGTTTCCACCACTAGCTCGTATGGTAAAGTGGGTCCGTGACGCCTCGACGGATAATCCCACAATAGATGCAGCCCCAGAAGAAAAAGAGCCATCATACGATACTAGCGTGGTTGAGCTTCTGGACGAAGCACTTGACACAAACACAATGCAGTGGTATCCACACGCAGTAACTCCAAACACGACCGATAAAAAAGGGTTCGCAACAATCACAGAAATATCGCGTTTATTCACATTGAATCGGCTTCAGCATGCCGCTTTCCGCAGGATCGGTTCTGCTTTATTGACGCGGTGGAAGAAGGCAGATGATCTGAACTACTTAACCGCGACGGATGTTCAAAAGGCTCTACGCGACGACCAAGTTTTGTTTTACCTTGGCGGTGAAGGCGGCACAGGGAAGACCCGAGTGATTGGAGCTGTACAGGAACTTTGCAAAAGTTGGAGGAGGGGAGAATGTCTCTTAAAAACTACTCTGACAGGGAAGGCCGCCACCCTGGTTTCTGGAAGAACGCTGGCAAGTTTACTATTGGCCTTAAAGTCTTCTAAATCTCGCTCAACATTGGGACTCGATATTATTATAATCGATGAGGTTTCAATGATGTATAAATCACAACTGGTGGAGTTGGATCAACGTCTCCGAAATGCGACTTGTAATACTGGTGTACCTTTCGGAGGCATTCATGTCGTTCTTGTTGGTGACTTCCTGCAACTCCCTCCTGTGGGGGCGGACCCTCTGTACATTCAGCCCTGGACAAGGTCTCGATGTTCACCTACCGCTTTGACCGGGTATTTGTTATGGCAAAAATTTACCAGCGTCGTCATCCTTGAGGAATCTGTTCGTTTTAGAAATGACCCTGAATGGGG